TTGGGGCATTATTTGGCCGCGTTGGGGGCCTCATTGGCTGTCTTGGGACGACGTTGACAACCCCTTTGGGCCGTCTTCGACGGTGTGAATACGAAAAACGCGAGAATGCTGAAAACGCAAGTTTGTTTTAAGGAATGTCACGATGTTTGCCTCGTGGGGCCCTCTTGGCAGTCCTGCGGGAGCACTCTTGGGCCGTGTTGGGCACCCCGTGGGCCGTCTCGAGACATGTTCTGACATGTTAGACCGACGTGGGGCGACCGTGAACCATCTTGACGCTTTGTTGGACTGCTCTGGCTTTTTTTTTGGCTTTCATGGGCCGTTTCGGGGTCCTGGAGAGGCGATGGCGTCCCTTTGGATGCGTTTAGGAGCTCGCCCCCCCTTCCCCCCCTCAAACTGCATTTTGAAACCCATGGGAGAAGGACAGGGGACGGGGCACAACCGAATGCATCACACGCCTTTCCACCCCCGGCAAGCTGGGGCCGCATTTTCACCCCCGGCACGCGGGGGCCAGCAAGCGGGGGCCAGCGGATTGAACGCGACTTTAGTGCAGTGCAAAAGTAAGTGTCAAGGGTACAGGGTTCGGGCTTGGGTTCGGGATCAGGTCCAGCAAATACACATACAGAGCAAGTACATCACAATACGAATGCAAAGCGAATGCCGCACAATGCACATAGCAGACACTGCGATACACACATCAACTGCGTTGCACATAGACACATACGGTACACAGAGTAAAACACGAACGCTATACGAATAGCCGAGTGTTCCTTCCCGCGCGCAGATGACGTTTAGAGCTGACTCGTTCCTAAGATTGAACCGCTGCACTCGGTGGCGTGACCAAAATACAAACCCTACTCGAACTACTGCACACAGGTCACGGTGAAACCAAGGCTCCCTCGGGAATCCCCGAGGTTTTGATACTCGCAGCTGTTTTCTTCCAGAATCTTCACAGGTTCCCTAGTGTCCAGCAGGTTCCTTTCAGGATTTCTTTGGATGCCTGAGGACTCTTCGGAATTATTCAGGTCTGCCCAGATTCTCAAAAGGATCCCGCAAGATCCCTTAGATTCCTTCGGGATGTTTCAGATTCCTCGTTCGATATCCCGCTCGATTTTCAAGCGTCTCTGCTGATGTCCCACAATTACATGAGGATGTTTCATGATTCCTCCGGTGCCCCGATCATTATTTAACTTCCCTTCGGGTTCCGGAGGGGGGGTCCCGCCGCATCTTCCAGGACTCCGCAGAACCCCTTCGGGTCCCCCAGGATACCGAAGGATTCTTGAAGGGTTCCTCTGGTATTTCGAGTGGCTTTCAAAAGTCTTGAGGAGCCCGCAGAATCCTGATGGGTTCCAAGAAGATCCTTCGTACTCCTGGAGGAGCAATCGGCACTCATTAGAAATCCATATCCGCAGGACTCCTTCGGGAACCACCAGAGGCTCCTGGCGCCCGCATGATCCCTTTGGAAAGTTGGGGGGGTATCGGAATCACCAGATTCCTTTTAGAACCCTGGTGTCCATGCAAAACCCGCTGGATTCCCTAGGGAATCCTGTTGGTTCTCCCAGGGGCCTTGCGAGGTCTTTCGGAAATCCGCAGGGCGCCATCGGGAATCATCG